AGCAGCAGCAGTACTAGCATCTAGTCTAAGCGGCAGGAATAGTGGTCCTTGAGGAAGAAGACGACTGGATCTTTATCATCGCGGCTCCCTGCGAGCAGGTGCACACATGTAGGGCCGGCAACAAGAAGTTTGAACTTTTGAACAGCTTGAGCAAGCATACAACTGCATGAAAAGCTGGTGAAGGGCTTTATACGCCATTAACAAGAGATCTACAGGATTGGTGCTGTACCCATCGGCCCCATAGTAGTTCCNNCCCCAAAAGGAATTACTATGGGGCCTATGGGTAGCGGCCAAACATATCAACAGAGCGTCGGCTTTTGGACTCAGGGCTGGTTGGTGCGGGCTTTAGGGCCTGGTTAGGGGTTTGGGGTTTAGGGTTTAGGGTTTTAGGGATTGCAGATTTTTCGGGTTCGTTGAAGTTCTGGTTGATGAGTCCTATGAAAATGGCAACCGAATCGTTTGTCGCAGATACCTCTTGGCCAGTCGAGCTTGTACGTCCGACTATGTCAACCCAAAGCCTAGATGCACTCATGTAAGGGCCGCAATCAGAATAGGGTCTTGGGCTCCTTCATAGTATGATTATAATAAGGAGCCCTATGAGGAATAAAATGGTTAATTATTTAGGCTGCCGTACTACCTTGGCATCTCTCAAGCAACCAAGTGGGAATCCACAGGCCTAAACCAAGAACCCAGGGACCACCATAATATAGGGGCCTTGATGATTAGAATAGGGTTTTGGGACCCATTGAACAAAAATATAATGAGGAACCCCAACAATAGTATTGGTGATGTTTTGGGTCATGTTTTGGACCCGTATATTCGGGGAAATTCGCAGACCCTGCAACTAGGAAAGCCTATTCTTCAGCAAGATTGATCTCAGAATCCTGCTACTAGCATGTCTAGTGTCGGGTCTATTCGCACCTCGATTCGAGACAATATCTCTCAGAACCCTTACCCTAGCCACTAACTAAGGCCTGGAACTTAACACTTTCACCCCGTAGACCTTCAGACCTACATCTCATGGACCTCTAAGAAATAGCCTATGCGATCGCATCTCAGCGCACCTTTCATGCTCCCCATGCGGGTCAGTGTCCGCGGTCGACCTGAATTAGGATTGAATCCGGCACCCTGGGTAGTAGGGTTCAGGGCATGATGATGTCCAGGGGCTCAAGGCTTCAATGACTGCAGGGCCCGAAACCCTAAACCCTACAGTCTCAGAGCCTTTCTGTCTGCCTCCTGCATTGCTGGGCCGGCTTCGAGGCTTTGGGTTCAAGGCTTCTGGCTTCAAGGTTTCAGGGTGGGGGGCCTGAAGGATCCGTGGTTCTGGTGTTATGACTAGGAGTTAGGATTAGGATTAGGGGACCCTCTCAATTGGGTCCATTTTAAGAGAGCCATAAGTAGGATTAAGAAGGGTCCCCTTTAAGGGGTCTCCCGAATACTACCTAAGCATGACTCACATGCGGCCTCAGAAGTGAGTGGTTCTTAGTCTCTGGAGGTTAAGTGTGTAGGCGGTCAACGGCCATAAACCCTTACTTTGAGTACAGTTGTCGCTTCGTTGACCAAGAGTTGTAGTTCAATTGTTGCCTTCGGGCGTTGGTGTTAAGATAGACTGACGAGCAGGGTGTAGAACCCTGAACCAAATAACGCCTAGACCCTAAACCTCTACACCTACACCCTAATATAGGGCTCAAGGTCTAGGCTGGCTTTGGTCTATCGCGCCCGCAGCAGTCGAGGGTTCAGGGTTTCAAGTTTGCCGAGCTTGACATTGGGGGGAAAGTCTTGGAGGAATTATTTAGTACAAGTCTACATGGGCCCTATGGGATACTACGACGAATGCACTTACTCTGGCTGAAGGCGCCAAACCTCTTTTTCTGGCAAAGCCTGTTCCCAAGCATAAGAAGCCACGGCAAATCCAAGCTGCTGCGAGCTGTAAGCTCCTGGCAGTCAGCAGCACGAGCAGGCAAGCGGTTCAAGGGCTTGTGAGCCGTGCAAGGGGGCATTTCTCAAATAGAGGGGCCTTCATCCATAGTTGAAACAGGTTAAAGTTTGCGGTGTTAAATTAATTAGTGTAGTTTTTGTTCAGCAAATTTGAGAACCCGAAGAAAATTCTTACAAAATTTTCACGACCCCATATTTCAGTCTAAACCTGAAATCCTAAACCGTCTATCCCTCACTTTCAAGCGCTGAGCCCTGGCAGCGCCTCGCGGTGGCTTCGGCTTCTCTCCACTGCCTGCGAGTCTCTGGTGTTCAGGTTTTAGGGTTTAAGGTTTCCCTAAAAGATGGAACATTAAGTTAGGATGCTCAGTGCTAGGAGTCCCTATATGCTTTCGACTACCTCCAGGGCATCAGAATGATGATGTTCCAACTCTCTCGCTTCTACTGTATGGTTCTACTGGGGAATCCTCAGGTTGTTTTGCACGACCCCCTTCCTTGGAGGATGCCCCGAGCTCCCGTCGATGCTCCAAGTGACAGAAAGCCTTCAACACGGGTTTCAGGACAGTTGCTAGGTTGTTGAATGTCAGGGGAGTCGATACCTCGGCCACTCCGTGCCAAAGCCCTTGAGGTTTAGGATCCTTCCTCTGCTTCGGCACGGCTTTACAAAGTATTCGTCACCTTCACTCCTTGACACCGAGAGCCAGTGACGGCCGAAACACACACACACACACACAAGACACAAATTGAATAAGGAACGACCGCACTCGCGACAACAGCACGCAACCACCTTGGCTGGACGCAGGAAACCATAACAGCGTTCAGTGACTACGGCAATAAGTCAGGAAGACTCGTGACAATAGTCGTCTTCGCGGTGCTCGTCGTCGTCGTCGTAGTATTTACTAGGAGGAGCAGCAGCAGCAGCAGCAGCAGCAGCAGCAGCAGCAGCAGCAGCAGCAGCAGGAGTAGTAGTAGTAGTAGTAGTAGTAGTAGTAGTGGTAGTAGTAGAAGTAGTAGTCGTAGTAGTCGTAGTA